TTAAATTTATGAGCTAATTAGGACTCTCAGTATCATTGACCAAATAGACATTTATTTGACAAAAATTAAGAAGTCTCAGAATATCAAGTGTTGGAGAAGATATTGACAACATGTATCACTTTCATATTTTGGAAAGGAGTGTACAGTGACTCACCACTTTGGAAACTAGTTGTGTCCTTGTAAAGTCAGCACTCACGTTTCCCATGACTCAGCACTTATTCTCCCAAGTAAATGCCTAAGGTAAATTCCTACGCTTATTCCCAGGAGTTGGTATAAGAATGTTCCTAACAACCCTACCAATGATGATGACAACAACAGTGGAAACAACCCAAATGCCCAATGACAAGAAAATAACTTGGGCTCTAGAAATTTGTGAAGCTGTGAAAAATGAATGAATGATGACTACGCAGAAAAATCTAGAAGAATCTTAGTAATATAATCCTGAACAAAAATATGCGAATCTCAGATTATATAAAACTTGATGCCCTTTTAATAAAGTTCATTAAAAAAAAACCTAAACAATAATGAAAACAAGAGAATGGTAAAGTCAACACTGACTGCTGTGGTTATGTTGGGTAAGGGAAAGTGGGCACACAGTTGTGAAGTTGTTGACTTTACCATTCTCTGGGTAAGTTGCTGTCAGTGTTCTGGTTCTTGGGTGAGATGGTGGTTTCTTGCAGTAAACCACCTGCTTCAACACCATGATTTCTTATCCAGCCCCCCACCCCTTCCATGGAGAGAACGCTTCTAGAAGGCAGGCCCAAAAGTGACTCATGGATCCAGGGTCATGTCTCCTCAGTTTTGTATTCCCAGGGCCTATATACAGTATCTAGCAAGACAGTCTCAGCAAGGTTTCTGGAAGGAAGGAAGGAAGGGAGAAAGGAAGGGAGGAAATGAGAGAAAAATGTAAAGTGTCTTTGGTTTATATTGAGTGTAATCCAATCACCCCATGCTTTATCCGCTCCCACACATACTGAATTATGTAATCAATTTCCTAATTAGTTGAAAATAAAAAAGAACTAACATTCTCCCGGAGTAGTAAACAACTACATAACATTTTTCCATATAGGCTATTCCACAATACTCATCAATATGGGGCTTTATAGGGAGAAAATGATTCCAAATAAAATACAGTACAGAAAAAGCTTTTTAATGCACTTTTTTTTTTCAGGCAAAAGAGCGTCAGAAAACATCCATCATTAAGTAGTGTTACAAATGGCACTTTTGGCTACATTAGAGAATTAGATATGAATCCCATGTGTTTTCTCTGATAGCTTAGTAGTAGAGCAACTTTATAATGCAACCCTTTCTTAGGATAAAAAAACGGCTAATTTGTCCTAAAAGACAGGAAAAGCTGTAAACCTAAAGTCACCACTTTAAAAATTTAACATTTATTTCATACTACACAATCTATTTTCATATTCTAATTTTCAGTATTATGCTACAATTCTTAAGAAGGGAAAACATAAATTTCAACCTAATTTAAAAATAAACATATAAATTAAGTACATATATTAATGAATTTGATAATATCATATGCTAACTTTGACGATGAACTTCATTTTGGTATGCTGCAGATTTGCCCTTTTGGTGTTGAACTGAGGAAAAGCATATTATACCTGAAATTCTGCCTTCGATGAGTAAAACAATGCTCAGTGATATCAACGGATTCTTACCAGTTGGTAAAACTGTAATGTTCCCAAGTTCTTCTGACGAAAATGAAACAGGATTAATACTCAACAGGAAAGAATAGCTAGTGTCAGTTTAAAATAGGTCTTGAGGGGGCACCTGGGTGGCTCAACCAGTTAAGCGTCTGCCTTCGGCACAGGTTATGATCCCAGGGTCCTGGGATAGAGCCCCACATGGGGCTCCCTGCTCAGCAGGGAGTCTGCTTCTCCCTCTCCCTTTGCTGCTCCCCCTGCTTGTGCTCTTTTGCTCTCTCTGTCAAATAAATAAAATCATTAAAAAAAAGAAAGAAAAGAAAATAGGTCTTGAAATTTGACTCTCATCACAAATATTTGAAAAGAGTATTTGGAAATGTGATACTATATTTTGAACGGAAAGCAATGATTCTTAAACTGTTAATTGTTAATTGCTGCCACCCCAATGCAGTCACTTTTATAAGATGGCATGAAGCTGACTGCATTTCATCTGCTCAAATTTGGGTATCTTCTTCCGGTTACCCGCCATTTCTCAACTAGTCCCCTTAGCAACTTGTACAACTATTCATCAGACATTAATAGTCAAACATCACACAATAGGACTGACCCAAAAGGCAACTGCGTTTTTCTTTCTACAGCAGAAGTAACAAACGTGGCTTTCAAACTTGCACTGGTAGCATATACCACACTAATGAAGAAACCAAAGAAGACTTCCACCTCCGTCACACTAACACGAACACACGATACAAATTCCTGAAAAATCCAAAGTGTTTTCTCGGGGAACAACGAAAGCCATTTCAGGGACCCTCGGTGAGTGAAGCTACACACACGATATGCGTGTGCGTGGGCGCACGTGTGCACGCACACACACACACACACAAATGCGCGTGCGAAAGAAAAGCTCTTAGGAGTATTGCTTACTGTTCATTTAGGATAATTCTTGAGGTTTCATTTAGAAGTGGAGTTCCTAAATTTTAAAGCAATTTGCCTGTTAAAATATCACAGAAGATACTTATTTTTTAATGATATGATTTCACAATCCACGGCCTGAGTTAATTAAAATGTAATCTTTCACCTTCACAGGTAGACAGCACTCCTTGTGTTTTATGAACACCCCAGAGCCAAAGGCCTATTTTCACCACATTTGTGTTTGCTACAGAAAGCTATCTTGTAAAGGACATGTCATTAGAAAGCAGAAGACTAGCGTCTAACCTGGGCTCTCTCCCTAGCAAGCCTCATGAGCTCGGGTGTGCCACCGGAACGTTCCACACTGAGCTGTGCTCATCAGTAAAATGAGGACAGGACACCGTGCTCTCCATGGCTCCATGTGGCACCATTAGTTTAGGATTTTCCAACTTTGAAGTTTTCATTAGGCACTGGGCTCTATTCACAACCTAGTAACGAACTTCTACCCAGTATTTGGTCAACGATTTGCATCTGGAAAGCAGAGCCTTTCAGTAACTAGGTAGCTCCTCGGTCCTTTATTCCATGAATGGTGAGTACCTACTCTTGGTGCATTAAAAGTAGCCATAAATTCTTTGCAGCTCCTTCCGTCAAAGGGAGAGACCATTCCCCGCCTCTTGATTCTCAGCTAGTTTAGTGATTTGCTTTGACCAGCAACACACTACGTAAGTATCCCTGGGTCACTCCCCAGGCAAGTCCATGAAAGGTCCTTGCAGTTTCCATTCTCACCTTCTTTGATCTCATGAGGCGTGATGAGGAATCCTCGGAACTCTGGGGAAAGGCCACATGGGGTGAAAGGAAATACCTCAGCCAACAGCATCAGCCATCTGTGACACCCATGCACAGAGCCTTCCTAGACCACAAATGTTCATGGGAACCCACCCGGCACCACATGGACCAGTGGCTGGCCATCCCGGCAGAGTTCTGCGCCATTTGCCAACATAAAGGATCATGAGCACAGAGAGTGTTACAAGGCATGTTGTGGGGTGGCACGCCAGCAGCCAGGGACAGCTGATACACTACTGTGTCACCACCTGCTGATGCTCAGAGTGTAGTGAGGGAGACAGATACATGTCTGTCAGAGACGTCTATCATACGTCTCTGACAGAGACGTGATGGATAACCTCCAAGTAAATATCATCAGTGCTATAAACATAGGGCATTGATGCATAAGGGGCCATGGGAATTTAGACAAGGGGAGTCAAGCCCAGAAGTGGGGAGCTGGCAAAGATTTCTCAGAGAAGATACTATCTAAGGGGAGTTACTTAGATTTCTCCAGGCAAAGACAGAGAGGTCATATTGCAGAGAGGAGAAGCTTATGTGGAAAGGCTGGAGGGAGCTCAGTAGTGTCCCGATGGGAATGGGAGCACTCACTTTCATTACCATGTAAGGATATCAGGGTGGAGGGTTGCCAAGGAGTAGCTAAGGCAAAGCTCTCTTGACCTTAACTAGAATTCTCTGGCATTTGGCCTTTAATCTGAGGGTGATGGGAGCCAAAGGAAGAAATAGTTCCTCCCTCCTTTCTTTCCTTCCTTCTTTCCTCCTCTTCTTCCCTTCATATTCATTTGACCGAAGACATCAATAAACTCTCAATCAAAGAAATTCCACTGGCAGGAAGCTGAACGGAGTAAAGAAAGACAGGTGCTTCTCTGGGGCTTAGATTGGTTAAAGGGAAGTGATACTATGCCAGGGCCCAAGACGATTGGCATTAGGACATGAGTACAAAGTACGGATGGCAGGCAAGAAGAAGATGCCATCGACAAAGGTGGTCCTCCTTCTTTTGAATTTAATGAACACCTGAACAGAGGCAGCATCTAAGACTTGTCTTTTAAAGACGTCCTAAGAACTTTCTGAGCTGAATCATAAGGTCTCCCACTCACTAGTTGTGTGGCCTCAGGCACATGACTAATCTCTGTATGAATCAGCTTCCTCAGCTGTAAAATGGAGATAATGGCGATATTGAACCTCATGGGTCAGGAGGAATAAGTGATGTATAGTTTTAGCACAGCACTGGGTATAAAATAACCCCTCAACAGTAGGTCCCTAAATGGGGAAAGGCTGGGGGAGGGGCGGTAACATGGGCTCTAGCATTAAACAAACCCATGTTTGAATCTTAGCAGATCTTGCAGCAGTGAGAACACGGATGTTGAAGTTTGCTTACACTTAGTTTCCATATCTGAGAAATGAGGGTGATAATACCCTTCTTGGAGGTTTTTTTTTTTTTAAGATTTTATTTATTTATTGTCAGAGAGAGAGCAGGTGTGCGCAAGCGGGTGGGGCGGCAGGAAGAGGGAGAAGCAGGCACCCCGCCAAGAAAGAAGCGTGATGCAGGGCTTGATCCCAGGACCCTGGGATCATAACCTGAGCCAAAGGCAGATGCTTCACCCACTGAGCCACTCAGGTGTCCCTTGGAGGATTCTGATGGAGATTCAAAGAGATCACATACATTAAGTGCCGTAGCACAAAGCCTGGCATACAGTATAATCGCACATACACACAGAATCGCTACTAGTTCCCAAATGGAGATCGACGGTACTAACGTTAGACATTCTATATTACTTCAAAATCCTATTCTCTGACTAAAGCTAAGATCAGAAAAGCTGGATTACCAGAAACATATATATGTAACATCTGTAGCACGATATGTCCATTTTACTAGTACCAACACATTAAGATAACCTATCACAAAAAGAATGGCTGAGGTACAACATTCATATTTCATTGTTAATACGTGATAAGAAAGTAACCTGGTTGTTCAGAATGCATTATATGAAATCAAGAATTTGGCATTCCCTGACTATCTAATTTGGCACTTTGAGGAATTTCCTCGATACACCAAGCCCCCAAATGCATTCTTTTCTAAACCAAAAAAAGAAACATGCATATATACAGTGAGCTGAAAAATGACAACACAAGATGATGTTTTGGTGAAAAATAATCCCGCCAAAGAAGCAGGGCATGTCATTCCTTAGAATATGTTACACTAGAAAGCTAGTAAAAATTCAGGCCAACAAGGCAATTTAATTTCAAGTTTTTATCACATATGGGCCAAGCTCTAGAATACTTCATTTAAAAAGGGACAACTTCAATGTGAAATCTTGCCAGAGGCTTGATATGTGTATATACAAATTCCTCTGTTTTGACATTCAACATATTCTGGATTAATTCTAGAAAGCTTCTGTAGCTGATTGATAAGACAAAATTATTTAGGCTCAGAAAGAGAAATCAGAGCAAATAATCAGAAGTAGTATCCCCCTATGCATCCCATCTATATTCATCACAAGGTTTTTGTTTTCTAATGAACGCCATAAATGAAAACATAGGTTAGAAATTGATACTAAAGGAGGAATTAAGAAAAAGTCATTTTTTTCAATGGCTTTTAAGCACTTGAATGCTTTAGAACCTCTTCAAAATGCTAGTTAACGGGTAATATTCCTTTGGATGTTGCTTTATTTTGAAGCTTGGTGAAATCCAGATCTTTCCATAAAGAGTTCCAGGTTCATTTTGGTAAAAGAACAATTTAAAATCTGTAACAACTACTCCATTGAATCCTAGGAGGGGATTTTAGCATGTTGCTGTTTTGGCCAGAGAAGCATTTCAACAACTTTAGGCAAACCAAGATAAAAAACAATGGCTGAGAACTACAAATGGAACCTGAGTAAGGCAATTCTACTACGTAAGGAAATTTCATTTCTGAACGTTTTTATACACGGACATAATTTTTTTTTAAAAGATGATCTACCTGGTTCTTCCACATTCAAACAGTGTATGAAACGCAAATCAAGATGTGTATGTATGGAGAAATTTTGTGCATCCAAAACCATCTGTGTGCATGGAAGTCTTGTCATTGCATTGCTTTGTGTTGTCCTGGCTTCGATCATCCTCAGGCCACTGAAGGGCCGGGATGTCCACCTGTTCAGCACTCTAACTCCTCCATGACTTCCATGACGATCGTCCGAGGGCCCGTCAGAATCAGATTGCTCACCGTCCGGTAGTCAACATGCAGCACATTGAGCCCATTTACGGAGACGACAAACTGACAGACCTAAAGGACAGACAAAGAGAAAGTATCTATTATAGCTCCTGCTTTTCCATAGACTTCTAATGAAGTCATTGTGTATCTCTAATGTCTAACATCTCTTAAAATACCCAACTGCCCCCAGCTGAAGACAACAATTTCCAAGAATCTATGCTTTTCCTTGAAGGTGATATAAGAGAAAAAGCATTTGGCTTAGTGTTTCACCAAATTAGGATTAAATCCTAATTTAGCAACTTACTAGCTGGAGCTAGGTATTTAAATTTCTGAGCTTCATTTCCCTCAACTCTAAACTAGAGATGATTAATAATAATAATAATAATAATAATACCCACCTTATAAGATGTTGTAAGAATTAAAGGAAGTGAAGTACATCAAGTTTTTGCAGTGCTCTATGCCAATGGAGTACTCAATACATTTTTACAGTGTTTAGGGATGTTGTTCATTTGGAGTCAATATTTAGGGAGCCCCTATGGCCCACGATTCCCAAGACAGCCCTCTTTTCCACCTACTGTTTCTGAAGGATTATTAATAGTGCTTCCTTTCACTTGCCAAGGTGTCCCCATTGAGATGATAAATTTCATACCTTTCCCTATTTCCATCCCTTATGAAAGTGGGTGAGGCAAATAAAGGTCAGCTTTTACACTAAGTATTAGTTAACCCGTGATAGGAGAGAGAATTACAATAAAAAAAAAGAAGTACCATTCAATAATGAGAGACCATAGTGAGCTTGGGAATGATCTACAGCTACTGCCTCAAAGGGAGGTACTTCATTTGAGGTTAGTGGTGACATCAGATGCTGGGTACTTTCTTATTTAGCTGACACAAAATAACAGTTGGTATATCTGTTGTGTGTCTAAAGAGGCAGACATGGGACATTCAAATGATTTATGTCCCTCAAATATAAAAATGGAGAGACACAGATCTCCAGCTGTCAGTGATAAGTACATCTAATTAGCAAAACAGAATCCCACAGAATGTAAGTCTGTATAGTGCCTGGCACATAGTAGATACAATATCCCCAACCCCCAATGATGTCTATGTCCTAATCCCTGGAACCTCTGAATATTTAGTTTACAGGGCAATGGAGAGTTAGGGTTCCAGATGGAATAGGTTGCTCATCAGCTGATTTTAACATTAGGAGATTATCCTGAGTCATCTAGGTGGGCCCAATGTAACTGCAAGGGTCCTTAGGAGAGGGAGACTTGCAAGCCAAAGGCAGAAGTAGATGTCAGAACAGAAGCAAGAAAGTGGAGAGAAAAGAGAAAGGGGCCAGGAACCAAGAAATGTAAGTGGCGTCTATCAGCTGGAAAAGGCAAGGCAGTGGATTCTCCCCTCCAAAAGCCCAGAAGGAATGCAGACGCGCTCACACCTTTAGATTTCTGACTCCAGAGCTAGAGCAATACATTTTCTTTGTTTCAAGCTGCCAAGTTTATGTCAATTTGTTACAGCAGCAATAGCAAAACCAATGCAGTAACCCAATAAATATTCATTGTTGAATGAATTGAATGTATAAATGCATTAAGCAAAAAAAGCACAATTTTGATGGACTCTGAAGGGTTTCTTGCTTCTTATAAATTATCCCCTCACTGAATAAGAAAATAAGAAAATAAAAAGGAGGAAAGGAAAGAAGACAAAAAGGAAGAAGGGAGAGAAGATTGAGATAGGGGAAGGAAAGGAGATTCTCTGGTTGAGACTGACTGAATGTCTCCCATATCTGTTGTTATCATCATATTTCTTTATAATCCCCCAGTAATTAATATGCATATCTGATTATTAATTAATTGATTTAGTGTTAATGACTCAAAGAATAGGAAAATATTAAAACAGTTTGAAAATCATTATTTCCTTTTCTTATTTTCTGAGTGGGTAATAACTATCAACTTGAACACTGTATTGATACAATATAAATAATATGAATTATAAATGTTTAAAACACAAAATATATTTTGAATATAAAAATAAAATTAAATCTATAAATTAAATATAATAAAACACTATATTATTAAGTGTAAAAATACCTATCCTATTCCTCAAACCAATATTGGAAAGTATTAGAAGGGCAGCTATAGATGGAAAAGATGTGGGATTTGGAATTTAATCCTAAGCATTTAAGTCTTTGGCTCCTTTTGTTTGATGACCTTAATCAAGTCATGTCTTCTCTACCATGTCTCAATTTATAAAACAGGGTTAGGTAAAAATGCTTATCTGCACGGGCTCAAATTAGATAATGAATTTAAAGCCTCTTTGCCCATGTCAAGCACTACACTGTTGGTTTCATGAATTTCTTTCTCTTTAAAAATACCCACTTTCTCTGTGGTCACACGCAAAACAAAATGGAAAGTGGACCGTGGTAAACAAAGTGGTTATTTACATAATGAACACTTTCTGTTGTCATGAACCTCAATATTTTCCACTCCCAACCTACACTGCCATGGCATCCTCGTATGTAAGGAGACCATACCATCACTGTTTCTCCTTTCCCATTTCCATAAATCTGTCCTCATGGATTCAGGGCACATGTTGTATAGAATCAGCAGTTCTCAACCATGATAGAAGTCATAGTCATAATCAAAGTCATACTAGCAGGTTACAATCCCTCCTAAAGTAGGCCATGGGTAATTTGCAAGGCAATTGAGCACTAATTTAAGGTAAACATTCGTGGTGCTTTGTTTTTTCTGTTCCAGCATACTCATGAGCCAAAGGATAAGAGAAAGTCCACTCCCTCCTGATTCAGAGTGCTGAGTTTAGACCCGGATCTTTCTTTCCTCCAAAGAGATGAATAGTCTTTTTGTGATGCCAAATGAGAAGGCAGTAGTTGCCAGGTGAGCTCACATTCCAGCAAAACCTTCATGGGCTCTGGAAGGAGAGATGTGTCTCAGCATCACCAGGGATTACCTTTAGCATTTAGTCTCAACCAGAATTATATTCTGTCTCTCTGACACACTGGTTGTTTTCACTGACCAACACTTGAAAAGTAGGAAATTTCCACATAAACATCTAGGATCTAGCTTCTCTGGAACAATCTAAAGCTCTAATAACATCAGGTCAGGATGGCCACTTGTCAATGGCTGAGTAGGGGCTAACCCTAGTAGATGTTCTCTTACTTGTCATGGTCCACACTGGTTTGTGTTTCTCTGCCACCTAGCGGACAGACATTGGAGTCTATGCTCCTGATCTGGGGCCACCAGAAGCAAAGAGCTGAAGAGAGGGAGACTTGGTACACCAAGAACCAAAGGATGCCAAATGCCCATTGATGGATGAAAAGAGAAATAAAATTTGGTATATCCATATCATGGAATATCATTCAGCAATAAAATGGAATCAACCTTGCGCTACAACATGGATGAACCTTGAAAACATGATGCTAAGTGATAGAAGTCAGTTGCAACAGACCGTATTTGTATAAGTCCATTTATATAGAAAGTCCAGAACGGACAAATGCACAGAGACAGAAAGTAGATTAGTGGTTGCCTAAGGCTAGGGCATGGGGAGGTATGAAAGGGTGTCTAGTCCAGTCAAACTGTAACCAACTTGCAATCCTCAAAAATAATTGTTTTATTAAAAAAAAAAAAGTGTAGGGCTTCTTTCAAAGGTGGTGCAATGTTCTAATATTGATTGTGGAGATAGTCACATGACTCTGTGACTATGCCCAAAATAAGTGAGATATACAATTTACACAGTGTATGAATTATAACTCAACAAAGATGTTATTAAAAAGAAGAATTGGAGGGAAGGGCGGGCTGATGCCAGCAATTCATAGATCTCTGTAGACTGGAGAGGGTGGATGCAGGATTGGTTGAAAGAAGGGGTCTTACAGACCTCTTGATTGCAGGGTCTCTTGGAGGTTCAAAACTGGAATGGTAAAGGCTGTGTGATTGGGAGGATGAGCCCTCCGTGGCCGCTGCTCAGGACCTATGCCCTGGAGTTGAGAGGTGGAAAGGGGGCAGGCATCAGGGCCAGTTGGACAAGGACCATGGGCAGCACACTGGTCAAAGTCCTTCTTATTGGGGTGCCTAAACCCCAGGATGGGCACCTGGGGAAACAACATAATCCCAAAGGGGAAGTCATGGGCAATGGGACACCAAAACAATATTATATTGGACTTGTCATCAACCTTGGTGAGTGGTGACTTGATCTGCACTTGATTTTGGAGAAAGGTCATTTTGGGGGTACCTGGGTGGCTCAGTCCATTAAGTGTCCAATTCCTGATTTCGGCTCAGATCATGATCTCAGGATCGTGAGATCGAGCCCCACATTGGGCTCTGCGCTCAACAGGGAGTTTGCTTGGGATTCTCTCTCTCCCTCGCTCTCTGCCCCTCCCACTCATACTCTCTCTCTCTAAAATAAGTACATCTTTAGAAAAGAGAGAGAGAATCGTGAGCAGACTCCACACTGAGCCTGGAACCCAACATGGGGCTCCATACCAGGACCCTGAGATTATGATCTGAGCTGAAACCAAGAGTTGGATCTTAACTGACTCTGTCCCCCAGGTGCTCCAATAAATCATTCTTTTAAAAAATTTTCTTTTGGGGTGTCTGGGTGGCTCAGTGGGTTAAAGTCTCTGACCTCGGCTCAGGTCATGATCCCAGAGTCCTGGGATCAAGCCCCACATCGTCAGGCTTTCTGCTCAATGGGGAGCCTGCTTCCCCCTCTCTCTCTGCCTGCCTCTCTGCCTACTTGTGATCTCTGTCTGCCAAGTAAATAAATAAAATCTTAAAAAAAAAATTAAAAATTTTCTTTTATGGTAGCTGGTTTCTATCACTGGCCACCCATGATCATCAGTATAATGCTTATGAACAAACTGAGTCTGAGAGGTTAAGTTTTTGCTCAAGGTTACACAACTAAGTGCGACTTCTGGAATTTGAACTCCATATGACTCCACAGCCCCACATAAATACAAACTTATAAAGTACAAGTTATATATGCAAGTTTGAGGAATGCAGAGAATAGTAGAAGACACATGTTTCTTCTCTTTGCTTTAACTATTAATTAAGCAGTGTAGGTTT